TGTAGACGTTTTACTCAACTACTTTGATAGTCCAAAACGTGCAATAATCTTCCATCATATTCACCCGCTAAATTTATTTTAATTTCACTGGTATTTTTAGGTGTATTTTGCGTTGCCGGATTACCATTATTTGTCTTCTCAGATTTATGAGACATATTAAAAATTCGTGTAAAATTATGAATATGTTTAGAAAGACTAATGGATCACCGATTTATACGTAAATACGTATAAGTGCATAATATCGTACGTACGTACATAAGTACTACCAATACACGAATTTTTAACAAAGTAAATGATCACCCATAACCTAATCGGAGTTTTGAGTAGCCAGCGTAACCACAAAAAAAAATCCTGGACATGTGATTTTGGCTACTATTTATTCATCAACAAGTAAATGATTTGTGCGATACGGACCTGATCCGAGAAATGGAGATATCAAAACTAATAAATTAAGTAAAAAAAAATCTTTGAACATATGAGTGCTGCCAAGGGAAAAGGGAACATCCAGCATTATACTATAAAATTTTCAAAACTTTAATCAAAGATATCTTAACAACCACTTGACTAAATTTAATAATTTTTTTTTTTTATTTGAATTCTACAGGTCTGTAGAATCCACATAAAAAAAAATTTTATTAAATTTGATCAAGTGGTTGTTAAGATATCTTTGATTAAAGTTTTGAAAAATTTTATAGTATAATGACGAATGTTCCCTTTTCCCTTGGCAGCACTCATATCTCCTTGTTAATTTTATTCTTTTCTGTCATGAATCCTTTATTCAAACTGAATTACGAAATAATATCGTTAAAATTAAGAGTCGAATTGGAATCAATCAACACAACCACATGTATGTAAATGCATACGTACGTACGTACATGCGTAAAAGTCTTAAATGTGTTTTACGGTTAAGCTTTTAAGAACAATTTCTTTGGATATCTTAAAATTTTCACATTATACTTAACTACGAAATTTGGTTGACTAGAGATACTCTAGGTCAATTTGTTGAACCTATTTTATTTAATCTTGGCCAGTGAAATTGCAACAGATTTTTTATATCAACTGAAATTGAGACTTGATTAACTAACAAAATTGAATACGAACTTAAAGTTTTGTCAGCAAAGTCACAACAGATTGCATCTAAATTTTATTTGATTAACTAGCGAAATGTTATCTTTTTACATTGTATCTATTATAATTTTAAAGTTTGAATAGTCATTAAATGTCAAATACGTAATTTACAACTATTTTGCGTAGACATTTTCATAAACATGATTTGGTTAACTAATCGTAGAAAGCGACCATTTTTGTAACAAATAATAGTGATAGTAGTATAAAAGCACACACTACGTAATCCAAACAGGATTCTTCAGACATGACAAAAACATCGGTAGAATAGCGTGAAAAAAACATTTACGATGGAAATATTAATAATCTTGAATATAATAAATTTGCAAACTCAAATTATCTTGAATATAATACATTTACAGACTCAACTATGGAAAGATTGTGAATTAACTGTTGCTCTTAAATGTCAAAGTTGAAACAAATAAACAAACTATTAAAGATTTTATTAAGGAGGCATATTAAGGGTTTAATTATTTCCTATGCAATTATTTCCAATACTGAATATACTATCGAGTATTTTTCATCATACATTAAATTCTTATCATTCAATTAACATAAACTATTACATTTCACGGAATCATAAAAAGCATGCAAAAAACCGCAATTCTTATGTTTTAAATCCGAAAGTCAAACATTATAGTCTTCACTCATTTAGCAAAAATAAATAATTTTACTATATGTAAATGACGGAACTTTATGGGAATACCTAAAAACCAATTTTACAATATTACAATATTAAAATGGACAGGTAAACTACGTATTACTAGGGGAAATAGCACTCGGACTTTTATTCTTACATGATAATAATCTTATCCAAACTTTGTAAATGCTAAATATTTTACGATATTTTACTACATTTTATGTTTATTATTTACAATGAATTTTAATTCATTAATAATATTAATATGCTAATAATAATTTATAATTTAGCATTCAAAGAATATCAAGGAAAATCGATTATTGCACGTTTTGGACTATCAAAGTAGTTGAGTAAAACGTCTACAGCTTCAAACTCTGTTCATGGAATGTTTGCATGTTTCGAATTTAAATGCCTTATCAATTATAAATATAAACGTGGCAAGAGTTCTGCTGTCTATAGCGTTTGAATAATCCTTTGGAAATTTTGAGTAGAAAGCCGTCATTCCCAACACTTTGCAAGCAAAATGATCATTGATCACATTTTTCAAAGGAAAGAGAATAATCTATTGAAGGTAGACCATCTCAATATATTGAACTTTACAAAAATGTGGGAATAGTCCAGAAATAATATCAATTCTCAATACTTTAAACAACTTATTTCTAATAGAACTTTGAGCCAACATCCTTCAAGTACGTTGTCGAGACAATTGTCAATTCACATGAAATTACATCAGAAAAAGGTAGTACATGAATATTTTAATCAGCACAAATTTCTCAAATCATTAGAATTTTTCGATGCATATCCTTGAAGTTCGAAAAAATGGTTTGAATTAGAACCTTTAATCGAGTTAACAAATACACTTTCTAAAAACTCTATATTGAAAGATTTGAATCTTTATGATAATAATCTTTAGCCAGAAGATCCACTTTGCAAGAACACTACACTAACTTCTTTGAATAATGGTGAAAATTTTAGATTATAAATAGGAAAATATTAGCAAAAACACTTCGCAAGAACCCAACTTTGCTTTTTATAGATATTTTTAATCTTGGATCAGAAGGAGGAAAAGCATTAGCAGGTGCACTTCACAAAATATTAACTTAAAAATTTTTTGAACATTGGTAATAATAAAATTGGATTAGTAGAATTAACAGATGCATTTTGCAAGAACAATACATTGAAATATTTATATATTTGTTTTAATGACATTGATTTTGAAATAAAATCAAATAATCAGTCTTAAAATAACTCAATTAAAAATAAGATCGAAAATAGTTAAAAGTAAAATTGAAATAAATTTATAAGATGAATTGTATTTAGCGTAATATTGTATCTATTGTCTATACTATTAAAATTCTACGCGTTCTGTTTAGTCAATTTTAATTCATGTGATTCATGTTACCGATGATTACGATTCGTGAAACCATTCTTGCAAACAGTCTAGACTGGTCTTTATAAGTATAGTTAAAAAATGGTTACTTATTCGATTACTAAAGTCGTATAATTTAATCCTTCAGCTAATAAATCAAATGATTTGCTTTTCTAATGACATTTCTGAAACAGAAAATTACTAAATCATAGACCAGAAACTAGACCAGATACCGAATAATCTATTTTTTTTGTTCTTAGACACGGATATACAGACATGCCAGTATGCTATCTAAAACGAATATAAAATAGTAACTTCACATTATATAAATAAATAAATAATATTTTTCTAAACAAGTCAAAATTAATTAAAGGTAATTTTTTGTTCTTTTGATCGAGTGAAAAGGAGAATGTATGTGGTGCAATTATATCTAATCATTGCAATTTATTAATGATTAATTTATTGCAGTAAAGGGTAAATTTATCTAAAACATTGAAATCAATTAAGTGTGTCATATAATAATATAATTGTAATCTGTACAGCACAAGATAAAAAAAAATTTTTAATTGAAGTTGGATTAAAGCTACAGTTCAAAGTTGGATTAGAGCATAGTTAACCTCTTTCTACCTTTTTTTTGTCAAAATGTTGTCGATAATTACGATTGTTTTCCTTTTATTATTTTAGTAATTTATATTGTTTCCATTTTATTGCAATATTTGTATATTTTGATTGATTGATTTTAATTTAAAGGTAATATCATAATTATAACAAATATTCAAAGAAGTCAACGTAGTGTTATAGTAAAGTGCATGTTCTAATGCCTTTCCTCCTCCTGATCCAATATTACTAGATCGAAGATCCAAAAAAGTAAGCGCCGTATTTTTGTAGAGCACATTTGCTAATGCTTTTCCTCCTTCTGATCCAAGATTATTGTTAGCAAGATTTAAAGAAGTCAGCGTAGTATTCTTGCAAAGTGCATCTGCTAATGCTTTTACTCCTTCTGATCCAAGATTATTGTACTTAAGGTCCAAAGAAATCAGTGTATTGTTCTTACAAAGTGCGTTCGCTAATGCTTTTCCTCCTTCAGATCCAAGATCATTATGCCCAATTTCCAAAGAAATCAATGTAGTGTTCTTGCAAAGTGCACTTGCTAATGCTTTTACTCCTTCTGGTCCAAGACTACTACCATTAAGCATCAAATTTTTCAGCGTTGCGTTCTTACAAAGCGAATCTACTAATGCTTTTCCTCCTGATCCAAGATTGCTCCAACCAAGGTACAAAGAAATTAGTGTAGTATTCTTGCAAAGTGCATCTGCTAATGCTTTTCCTTCTTCTGGTCCAAGACTAGTACGAAAAAGGTCCAAAGAAGTTAGTGTGGTGTTCTTACAAAGTGCATCTGCAATTGCTCTTCCGAGACTAATACCTCTAAGACTCAAATCTTTTAGCGTTGTGTTCTTGCAAAGTGCATCTGCTAACGCTTTTCCTCCATGATTGAAAAGTGGATCTCCTTTTGTTTTGCTGCAATCATTACTAAGATTCAATGAAGTCAACGTAGTGTTCTTGGAAAGTGCATCTGCTAATGCTTTGATTACTTCTGGCTCAAGATTGCTAACTTTAAGATTCAAAGAAGTCAATGTGGTGTTTTTATCAAGTACCTTTATTAATTCGTTTAAATTTTTCAATTCACGTTTATTAAAAGAAAGATCCCAGGCTGAAGCATTTTTTTGATCCTCAGCATTATGTAGGTAGTTTTCAAGAATTTCTTCATAAAGTTCTAATGCTTTAAGAAAGTTGCCTTGCTTAAAACATTTATGTGCTTTCTTTCTTTGGCCTTTGAGTACTTTGTTACTCTGTAATTCTGTAGATCTAGTTGGTAGTTTTTGTTTTAAAATAATTCGTGGTGGTAAAATAATCGAAGTTGTTTGATGATTATGTACCATACATTTTTTATTCAAATCATTCCAAAGCTTTGTTTCAAGAAGTTGTGAATATGGCATTATATAATTTGTGAAATCTTCACT